TCCAAACTGTCTTCTAATCATTTTTCTGTTAAACAGTACAGTTGGGTGTTGTGAGAGTCCAGAGAAAAAGGCAAATATTCACTAGCAGATCCTGGTGCCATGATACAGGCCCTTGGTTTTGTCTGTGCAGTGTCCATTCCTATGCCTCTAGAAGCAGCGCCATGCTTTCCCTCAGAAACCATCCCTATCCCATCACACTCCTCCATGGGAGTGGCAGTCAAGAACCTTGCTTTTTCATGGCAAATGGATAATGGGCACTTGACCCTAGCTCAGCCTTCAGACTCTCTCCTTTGAGGGGATACCTGAGGATAAGGACTCATCCAAGAATGCCAGCAAGGTCCCTAAGCTCTCACAAGTTTCTCTAGCTCAAAATCTGCTTGGTCAACCCTTTTCTTGGATTCTCGAGGCTCTCTATCACCATGGAAACAGGTTTCTGTATGCTTAGGTTGGCAGAGCTGACAACTGAGTCTGTCACTTGCTACCAAAGAGTCCTAAATGATACTACTACTAAATCCCCATAGAGATCTAGCCCTTCACTGAACACACTTACCACCCCCACTTCCTAGGTAATTCTTGAAGAACCATGCCTTCATTACACACACATCCCATGCACATCATAATTTATCTTAATGTTAATAAGGTATTGTTACCTTATTGATGTGGAAAAAGAGGCACAGAAGCTAAGCAATGTATTCAAGGTCACAGAGCTAGTAAATATTAGAAACAATATTTTATCAGGTCCAATTTCTGCCTTCCATCAGCAAGTGATGCTTATTGGATCATGCCGATCATGCCCCTGTTGCTTCCCAGACTCCTGGGGTGGCCAAAGATCCTTAGTATATTCTGATACAGTGTGGGGAGGGGCGGTTATCTCCTTCCCTCTTTCCTTCCCCTTTCCCGCTGAGCTGCATCCCATTCTTTCTTTTCTCCAGCTGCAAGTCACTTATAAGAAACAGCATTCGTATCAGCATGAGGGAGGATTCACACACACACACACACACACACACACACACACACACACACACACACACACACGCATAGTGAGTGGAGTCAAAGGTGTCTGTAGTTTGTACTCAGAATCGTGTACTTTCAAAATCTGCTTGTACCCACCAGGTTGATTTCCCAGCTAACTACTGCATCTGACTCTGGGCTTCAAAACCCCTGATCTACTAAGAAAGTTGCTCAAAACGACACTGCTTTGCTTGTCGTTTGCAGAAGGAGGTGGGGCCAGGCCTGATTCTTTAAGGTTCCTAATGATTTGTTTACCGCAGTTAATGTGGGGTTTCCTAGGCCACGCCAGCATGAGGGGAAAATTGGGCTCATACCCACAGCACAGGCTGTTCCTCTCTGCTCTGCTTACTTCAGCTCTTCTAGATGGCCAGCACACTCCCGGGATCTGCTTCAGTCATCCTGAGGATGGCCCGGGAACACTGCACCCGTGCTCCCAGCCTTTTGTGGTGTCCTCCTCTTTGGCTCTGGCCACCAAGGCTGACCTAGCTGCTTCTGGAGGAAAGAATCCAGTGACTGGTGGCAGCTTGGCCTCTGCCTGGATGAAGATGCTATTTGCCTCACATCTCTACAGCATCCTGGCACCTCCACTCAGTGCAGTTGTTCTGAGCACTCACATGAATCACAGCGGTCTCTAACTAGAGGAGATGCTTTGATACAGGGATCTCAGAGCATAGTCCTCTCACCCGCTTCAGCTCACACACGTACGGGAGCGTGGGTTAAGAAGAAGCCCCACCCTCTCTCTTTCTCAAGCTCTGGTCCAAGTCTAGGTCAGCTCTAGATGTGGTTGCCCTCACCAGACTGGTGGGTTCCTTTTGGTTCCTTAATGTGGTTAGACTCTTAATACCACCAGAACCTGCCATCTAAGAGAAGTGTCAGCTTCCTGGGGTGACTACAGACATCAACTGACCTCATATTTGTGTGGAACCTTTGCTCTCCAAGCACTGGGAATCACACGATCAGAAGTTAACAGCTCGTTTCTATGATGAAGATGATGATGATGACTCTTTCTTATGCATCAGGTCAATACCAATCATTTAGATATGTGATCTTATTCAGTTCTCTCAGTAACTCTATGTGCTATGATTGTCCCCATCAGCAATGACAAAACTGTGACTTAAGAAGTTAAGTAAGCCCATGTTCACGCTGCTATAAAGTTGCAGAGCCAGTCTTAGATTCTTTTCAGTTACTCCTCTGCAGCTCGGACTGGGCTCCCAGCCTGTTTCAGCTGGACCTTCCAGCACCCCTGGACCCTTGACAGCTCTGCTCCCATCTTTCCTAGGCCCCTGTCCCAAAGGCCACCACAGTGCACAGATGGGTTGCCAACCTTATCTAGCACTGCATTCCCATTTGTAGGTCCGTCCACTCTGCACTCTCTGGGGGCTTCTCAGGAGAGTAGGATGGGAGGCATCGCCAGCAGTGTGGTCTCTTGTCTGATCTCAAGTCTCTCAAGATTTCCTAAGCCCTTCTGCAGATTCATCTCTGGAGCTTATTCCCAGAAAGGCTGTCAGCACCCTGTGAGGCATGATTTAAACTGTGCCTGGTCTTGGTGGGCGTTTTAATTGAACAAGGAATTCGAGTCTGGGCTTTAAATGCCATACAAACAGAAAAAGTTTCTGTCTTTTCAAAATGCCCATTGTAAATTGTCCTTAGTGCTCCCCACAGGGGTCCTTTCTCTGGCTGAACTGACAAACTGAGCTGAGCAGCTACAAGTGAAGGCCAGGGATAGATGCAGTTTCTTGCACTCCTTGGTCCTTCTCCTGGCTTCACCACACCAAAACAGAAAGACTGCATGGCGTCCAGAAGCCCTAAGCCAAGGGCTTAGTCTTGATAACTTGTTTTATTTGAGAGCAAATCCTAAGGAGCAAATACCCTGTTTGATTACATTGATTGTTCGAACCAAATATTTGCCATTTGTTTTGCCCCATGCAGGGTAGTGGCTCTGTCAATAGGTGCCTATATGGTGGCTCAGTACCTCAGTGTCCCCATCAATATGCAAGGAACTGGGTCCAAGGTCCCTGAAAAATTTTGAGGTCATTGTTTTATAGTTATAAAATTTATTAGAAATCAGGGAATTAAGAGATCAGCTGTTTGAATAAAATGAGTCTGCATAAAATTTTCACAGTGGAATCACATTATATAGAGAGATCCCATCATGTACTTGCAGAAGAATTCAATTAAAAAATTCAACCTGTGACCAACTTTTAAGTGACACAGTAATGTTTAATTGCGACTTGCCTGCAGGTCTGGATTTCTAAGAATAGTCTCTTGCATTCTTTTCCATACAGCCTTCAATGAAACAATAGTGCAGTCCATTTTAAAGTCAGGACTTCTCTGATATGGTCTTTTTTGAAACATGCACCAGGAAAAAAAAATCACTTTAAAACTGTATAAGCATCCTCCAGCTGTTTAGAGCACCCAGGCTTTGCACACGCTGTTCCCTCCTCCCCTCTGTCTTTGGAACTCAACTCATTCGTTGTTTCTTCGGGGAACTATACCCTGACTTTTTTGACCAATGCAATCCACTTTATTATAACACTGTCTAGATTGTTATATTTAATGGTAAATATATGGTTACTGTTACTACACCATGCATGCATTCTGGCGTTGCTCCTACAGGCACTCTGGATGCCTGCCATGTGCATGGTGAATGAAGGCTCTGGCTTTGAATCAGAGTTTCTACTTCCATAGAACTTTCAGTCCTCTGGAATCATCATCATCATCATCATCCCAGCAATCCAATAAGAGTGATCAGGACTGCTACCACCTTCTCACAAAGCCAGGAGAGTTAAAGGAGCAATTGAGCCCAGGGTGGTGGTACTTACCTGCAAGCCCATATCTTTGGAGACAGAATGAAAGAAAGTTCAAGACCAGTACAGGCTACAAACGAAAGGAGTAATTGGAGTTAGCCTAAGGTCAGCTACAAGATGGAAGAGAATGGCAATGTGTGGACCTCTGGGAAGGGTGCGTTTTTTTCATAATGGTACAGGTACATGAACCACCCTTTTCATATGTTCGGTTTAAGAAGCAAGGAGAGGAAAGGCCATGCCTAACTTACTAGAGTGTCTGTGCCACCCTGAGGTGGCTGCCATCAGCACGGTAAAGACCTTCTCTTCTACCCTCCTAAGGATCTCTTAACCCTCCTGGACTGGACAACCCCACAGCAAGGCCAGGTCATCTTGACTTTGTCATTAAACAAATTTCCTTTTCCAAGGGAGTGTCCTCTTTCCTATAATACATGGCAATAAGAACCTGTGGTTTTTATTTGATTCTCACAGCCATGACAAGATCATCTACCCTATCGTCCCCAATCTACAGACATGATAGCTCCCCTGTCTGTAAAATCAGCTAGTTTCCAAATGACCTGAGATCAAAGCCTGGTTTCCTGCTTACTCCAGCATCCTCCGCCTCTCCCAGCCCCCTTTATCACAGCCTGCAGGGTGAGCCAGGCAGGTTTTTTCAAAGCCCCAGGAAGCCAGAGTTGGCTGCCTCCTGCTGGCAGGGAGTTTGCTCCAGCCTTTTGGAATAACTCTGCCTAAGGGAGAGAGCAAGCAGGGAGGACAGATTACATACACAGAGACGGTGGTGGTTAACAATTCTGTCACCTCCCTCTCCGTGGAGGAAGTGGGCTGTTCATGGTGGTGGAGGATTATGAAAAAACAATAATTCATAAATAGTTAAGTGGAGAAAAGTATTCACTCTCATGCATTCCTCTGTAAGTGACAGTCTCCGTGTGTTCGGGTTTATCTTTCAACAGTGGTATCACCCAGGTGGACTCTGCAAGGGATAGCATGGTTTTAGCGGCAGACAGAGTTTCATTTAACTTCGTTTTCCCAGCCAAGACTGCCCCCCAAGCTAGTGTTTCTTACTAGGTTTTTCTGCTACATGAAAAGCAAATTCCCAGAGGTTCCCAAGATTGCTCGCATCCTATGCCGAGATGACTGCTTCACCGCCCGCCCACCCACCCACTAATAAGACATAATGCCGTCCTATTTTTGGTAACAATTAAAGGGCCTCCCGGTGAACGCAGAAAGCTGTTTATTTTCTGTTACATCACTTCGCTTGCCTTCGAAGACTGCTCTGTGCTCACGGGTTTTCTGTGATGTGAGTCGGCTCTCTCCCTCCAGCAGTTGGCTCGCTCCCATCTCACAGCACCTCACAGGTCTCTTCCCCCGAGCAGTGCACTGCCTGAGCCGAGGAACAGCTCACGAATCAGCTGGAGGTCCCTGTTTTGAAAAGGCAGTTACAGAGGCAGAGAAGGGTGGACTCCTATATGACCTGTTCCTAGATCAAGACAATCAGCAGCTGAATTCCAGAAGCCCTGTTCATGTGTGGGGATATTTTCTCGACTGCATGGAATCAGAAAGAAGCAGAAGGATGGGAAATGCCTGCATCCCCCTGAAAAGAATTGCCTATTTCCTATGCCTCTTTTCTGTGGTTTTGCTGACTGAGGGGAAGAAACCAGCGAAGCCAAAATGCCCTGCCGTGTGTACTTGTACCAAAGATAACGCTCTATGTGAGAATGCGAGATCCATTCCACGCACCGTTCCTCCTGATGTTATCTCACTGTAAGGCCCGTAAGCATTTTAATATCTAATTTACAATTTAAAAAATTCCAGCTGGTGGATTTGGGGGTTTGTATGTATTCTGAGAGGGGCATGGAGTGAGAGAGAGGGATTCCTCTTGCATGCTTGGCCATTTGACAGAAGTAACATTTTGCTGTATTTAAAATCTGTGATTTCGATAAGCTGCTCCTGACCATGCTTAGCTAGCCCCCACCCTGGACGTTATTCTGAATGAGGTACCTGGAGCAGCTCGCCTCTCTCTTGCTTCATGTGGGAAGGAACAGAATATTACTTTATAAAATAGTGTGGAAATAGCAACTGTTATGGTAAATCGGATTAACATAAGGTCTGTTCTCTGTGTGTGTCTCTTTGTGTGTGTGTCTGTTTGTTTTTGTGTGTGTGTTTTGTTTTCTTTCAGATCCTTTGTGAGATCTGGTTTTACTGAAATCTCAGAAGGGAGTTTTTTATTCACACCATCGCTGCAGCTCTTGTGAGAAATATTTATATCATGACTATTTTTAATATGGCATATATTTGGATAAGCCTTCTTGTAAAATAAGCTTAATATTATTTCTGTTGAATGTGACGATGTTTCTGAAAAGGATGAGGATATCAGTAAAGTGGGAGGGAGATGGGATTGTTTGTAACTTCACACCCACAATGCAGGTTGATTTTTGCACGGATAAATTTGATAACCTGTAATGCTATTTACTTTAATGGCCGTTTATGAAGTTGTTGGGATGTCGCAACGAGAATACCAGTTTTGATTATCTTACTTTCATTTTTAACTTGGGAACTTTGGTTATTTTGTGCTGGAGTTCTTGGATTTGTCAATGCAGAGCCCAGCATAACATATGCGCTCAAGATGTTGTTTCTCAGGGATCTGGGGCAGGCTGCTCCTCTGTATGATTTACCATGTGGGGAGAGAGAAGGAAAAAAAATTCTTGGTTCTTTCTAGGTAATTCCTTAAAATACCAATTCTCAAGAGACTGCTTTCTAATCTCATCTAATTTATAACTAGTCCCCTCACAGTGAGGGAAAGATGATATTAATATAGCAAATACTCCATGCTCTGTGTTTTGAGTTGGCCACAAGGGAACCACATATTCAGCCCATGCTTAAAAAATATTCAAAAATAGCTTTGGGCTAGGAAATCAGATATCTTCACAGGCGTAATGAAATATATGCAATTTGTTCTGATGTGTAACGTTTGGCAATTGGAATCTAGTTCTGAATGGGGGTATCACATGAGAGTCAAGGGGTCTTCCATGCTGCAGAATCAATCTTGGGTTGACAGACACTTCCAAGACAGACACCGTCTGCTGTTATTATACTGAGGTATTTTAACTGTGTAATTAATATCCAAGTTTTTATTTATTTGCTTTCTAGATTTATATTTGTTTCTTGCTTAGCCACTTCACGAGTTATTTTATATACAGGCAAACAGTGGGGATTTGAAGTTGGAGAATCCTGTGTTCAAATCAATCTCACACCACAAGTCTTACCCCACTACTCACTGGAACTTTCTCATGTAGTCTTGTGCTACAAAATGGAAGTTATCAGACATATTTTGAGGTGCTGTAATCAGAGAAATTCAAGTATATAAAACTTTTTTTAAAGAAGGGGTCTCACATAATTCACTCCGACTTGGACCTTACTGTATATTCTGGCTGGCCTTCAACTTCTGGTCTTCCTTCCTTTACCTCCCCACTGCTGGGATCAAACCAGCACATGCAGCTTTAGATCAAGCTCAAGATGTGGCATATTGCCTATGGCAAAGTCTCACATGTTTTATAAGTGCTACCGCTTTAAATTTTTACATCAAGATAAAATGCTGAAAGCTACTTAATACAGAGTGTGGTCTACAGGAAATCCCAAAACTGGTTAGACTGTTGCATTACATTTATAAATTTGATCGGATGTTTTTGACATTATATAACAAGGTTTGTGAACATCCTTCCCCTGGCTAACACCTTTGAGCGATTGCCAGTTAAGTGAAGAATTCCTAAGGGTTTATCTGTTTGATTAAAGGAAGTGTTAATATGTCAAAGAAAAAACAATTAAGACAGTTGTATTGTTTTTGTTTGTTTGTTTTGTTTTAATACAGAACGGGACAATGTCTATGTCTTTATGTTCAGTTCTGCTTATGCTGATTATTGGTCATGTAAATACGTGACTTGCTTAAAATGCCTTTTTTTCTTTTTTTTTCTTTCTTTCTTTTTTTTTTCTTTTCTTTTCTTTCTTTTTTTTTTTTTTTTTTTTTTTTTTTTTTTTTTTGTGCTAAGGCACCTGCCTCTTCCTGGGATAGTTCAATAGAGCAGCCCTTAAATTTCAAGTATTCTCATTCACCCCAGTGCTCTGTCAGTCTGACACTAGGTGGACATTAGCTGGACGCTGAGAGCCCTGTGTGCTCTACTTCCTTTTGGTTGGGTGGACCCAGCTACCCTGAGCACAGATGCTGGGCAGTGTCATGGAAATAGTTACCGGCTGCTGCAGGGCAATGTGATTTCACCTATTTAGAATCACAGAGGGAAGCCAAGGGACTGGTTTTAAATAGCCCACACTGAGTGCCTGCCATGCCCCTCTGTCCCATGCTCTGAGTTCCTATGGAACATTCCAACCTTTATTTCTAAAAGCAGTTCAGGTTTCAGAAACAACAAAGGAGCCGATGGTTCTGTCCTGTATGTCCTCAGTTACCTCATTTTAGCTGACCTCAGCAGGGTAGATTTGGCCACACTGACCTTATGCAAAACCATCAAAGGTGGAAGATGGTCCACAGGCTGGCTCCAGGACCCTGTTTCTAAGTACTGTTTCCCGCACAACCTGCTCATTGTGCTTCTTCCTCTTCTCAGGAAAAGGCCAAATGAAATGGTTTTCACTGAGTAAGGAACTCGATGGCTTTGGCACGCCTGTAGACAGAGCTTGTTGCCCTGTGCCCTGAGAACCTGCCACTGGAACAGGAAGACCAAAGGGCCATCAGCATCATGTAGGGTTAGTGATGAATCCTAGACTCTGAGTCTATAGATCCATCTTATGTCTGTGAAGAAAAATTTTAGAATCTTCTGCTTGGTCTCTATTGAAGGCAGTTGGTTTCTTTGTTGTTTGAATAGAACAAGAAATGTCTGGCTGCAGCCAGGTATGGTGGTGCACCCCTGCATTCCTAGTAGTGCTGGAGAGGGCTGAGACAGGAGGGATTAGATTTTGAGGTCAGCTTGGATGCACGGTTAAAAAAAGGAGCAGGTCTGTGATGGGGTACCCCATTCCTAGCACCCACCAGAACAATCTGATGCTGTGCTCCTGGTCCCACATGCTTCTTCATACCTTACGTAAGAAAGATGATGAGAAGTTCTTTTTGAAATGTCAGCCTCGGGTGCTTAAAGAAACAAATGAGTACCCTAAATTACATGAAGTATTTGAGGAAATATACTAGTAAGCTGTGGCTGGCTGTGTTGGAGAACAAGAAAAATAAAACCCACACTCTGCTAGAGAGGAGAGAAAAATTAAAATGATCCAATAAAAAATTTATCAGATCAGTTGTACAAAACATTCTTTTTAAATATCCTTTCTGGGAAAAAAAAAAAGTTCCCAAGCAAATGTCATTTCCTTCATGTTTTTCACAGGGCCAGTTCTGAAACGTAACCAATGGGCATGGTTAAGCATTCCCGATTGCTCTCAGTGCTGGAGTGGCGCTTTTAGTGACTGCAATTTGGAGAAATGTGTTTTCACACATTACAACCCTGTTCCTTCCCAGCTCTAGACTGAAATCCCCAGTGAGACAGGCTCATGACGGGAGTCTCAGATTTAAGAGAATAAAATGTGGCCATGTTGCAATTTGTTTATGACATTTTAATGAATTAAGACCCTTTGACTCCTAAGACACTCCTGTTTTTTCTGGCAATGAATTCCAGAAGTAATTTTAGTATCACCCTCAAATACAGAACAAAAACTGTACAAATTCAATGAGGCCAGAAAAAAAAATCCATGTTTTTTTTTCCCAATAAGAGATGCATAATTTACCTTGATATGGAGAAAACATCATTTAATAAAATTAATCCACATTTGACATATAGATATATAGTCTGCAGGAAATCAAAAACTCCAAACAACTAGGAAAGCAAATCTCATGAACAAGAAATAAGCTTGTTCTTTCCAAGGTAATTCATTAGGACCTTCACTGTTTTATTTGTTTAGAGCTGATTGATAGCCGTAGATGTTCTTGCCCTTTAAAACCCCTGGGTTCTCTGTGTAGCAATGTTCAATGAATACTCAAGCCAGACCAGCTTCAAGAGTGTGAGGACACTTTCCTAGCTGGTTCTGTGAACATGAATATGTCTTGGTGTGTGTCCCACAGACATCACTGAAGCAGCTTTGTCTACGAAGTTCCCCCCCACCCCCATTTTCTTTTTTCCCCTTGAATCTATAGGTATTTAAGGTCTGCAACTAAATATTTTTGAGAGTGTCTTATGTACTCCAGGCTCTTTGATCTAGCAAGGACGGTTTTGAATGTCTAATCCTCCTGCTTTCACTTCCCAAGTGCTAAGATTAAAGGGTCTGCCACCACACCGGGCCACCACACCCAGCCACTGCCCTGTTACCATGTGGCGCTGGGGATCAAATCTAGAACTTTCGTGCATGTTTTTGAAAGCATCCTATCAACTAAACTACCAACTAAACTACACCCCCAGCCCAAATAGCTGATTTTTGGTGTGCAAACTTCTTCTGTGTGGGGGGTGGCTTTTGTTGAAAGCCCATTTTACTTTTCCAGTTATTCAGGCCAGGAGCCTGATGGTGACCTGCCCCTCCTCCCTGGATGCCCACTTTGACCTGGGAAGTTCCCTGAGCAATCTCAGAACCTGCCTCTCCCCCTTCCTCTTCTCCCAGACCTTTTCCTGCCTGAGGGACTTGCAATCCACCCCTCCCACCCCCTACCCCTGCTTTCCGCTACAGTCCTCTCCATTAGTGTTACCTTCTTGGAAACAATAGCTCTCCTTGTGTCGCCCAAGTGCTTGGAAGCTTTTAACCGTTCCTAGGAAGGGGGAAAGTCAGAGTGCCAGAGCTGGTGTTAATAGCACTTGGCTCCTTCCTGTTGTCCTGGATTGTCAATCACAACACTGACCCTAGCCTACCCCTCCCCATATACACCAGGGACAATCAAATGGGAATGCGTTGTCACAGTTTTAATCGGGTTTCTCATGTTCTGGATGCCTCTAGTATGGACTGATGTTTCTTACTTGTTTGTGCTTATATCTGGTCCATGACTGGCTGACATGCAGGGTCAGCAGTGAGCCATACTTCGTGAGCCCTGGGACTGTAAAAGACCAAACTTGGCTTCCCATCTACTTCTGGATGCCAATCCCTATAGCCACAGACTTCTAGTAAAGCATTTTGTTTTCATACCTTGGCCATGTTTTCAGCCTTTCTAAAATTTAATAGACCCCAGTTTCACAGAAATTAATGGGTTAGAGTACTGGAAAATGGTAGGTCACGGTG